GCTGTTCTATTGTGCTTGCTGGTGCAGCAGATTCAGTAGATAGTGGGGAATATTTTAACCCTATTAGTATTTGGATGTTTAGCTACAGTGCTCTTAGATCTGTCTAAAAACACATTGAAAGGATACTGGAGGGTGAAGAGACAAGAAAAAGGAAAACGAGACAGAGAAAAACAACAAAAAGAGAAAAAAAGACAAAAATTTGAAAAATTAAAAATTTGTAATTATGGTTCTTTTTTTTAAAAAAATCACAAAATAGAAAACCACACGGTGCGCTTGCACAGCGCGCGAAAAATCTAGTTCACTGTAGCCATGTGGAACCTTGTCCTGAAGGCCCGAGGCTTCTTCTGCCTGGATGGGAGGAGCAGAGCGAAAATTAACAAGAAAGAAGGTGGAGCTAAGAGCCAGAGGAAAACTAGGCCTTTTTCTTTAAAAAAAAAAAAAAAGGGAAAAAAGAAAAATTTCCAAAAAAAAAAAAAAAAAAGGGAAGACAGAAGCAGGGAGAGACAGGAACTGAGAGACAGAGAGAGAAGGCTGGGGGTTCAGAGGGCGGCTCCCTACCGCTAGCTCGTTTGTTGGAGGCTGAATTATTAGTAGAAAATCTTCATTCCCTTAAAAATCTAGTTCACTGTAGCCATGTGGAACCTTGTCCTGAAGGCCCGTGGCTTCTTCTCGACAACAGTATATTCTTGATAAACAGCCATTGCATGTTGTAGATTTTAATTCTCATCTTTTTTAAAAAAAAAAATTGCTAGAGAGCATGTATATCTGCCAGAGAGACCGGGAAAAGGAAAAAACACGTCCTAGTGTGGTGTGGTCACACTGCAGCCTCTTCTTCATTTTTCCAACCTATCAGGATTCTGGGCATTATGCATATGCACCTGCCATGTTTTTCAAGCTGCCAGGGTCAGGACAGACTGCAGTTGGCCATATGGAATCTGGTTCCCTTAACCACCAGGCTATGAGGCTGGTCTTATCTTTTTTTGTTGTTTTTGTTTAGTTTTTGTTAATAATGGTACATGCGCTCTCCAGAGAGAAAGAGATAGGAAAAGTGATAAACCACTCCCTGGGGGAATGGGCATGTCACCATCCCTTTTCCATTCTCCTTTCGGGATTTTGGGCATGCATGCACATATGCCTGCTGTGTTTTTCAAGCTGCTGGGTCCAGTACTTGAATCTGGAGTTGGCCATGTGGCACCCAATGTCTTACCTACCGTTCCACTCTGCCACCTACTGGCTCTCTGTTGGAATTGTGAGCACTCACACACGTGCCTGGCTTGTATTCTTTTTTCATTTTCTTTTTTTTTTTCCCCTCAAGTTTCTAGAGCTTGAGTTTGAATGGAATCAGCCATGTGGATCCAGCTCCCTTAACCACTAGGCTACAGGGCTGGCCCTTAAATTAAAAAATTGTAAAGAACTATTTCAAACTCGGGAACCAGCAGTTAGTGTAATGGCTATGTTGCTGGACTCCCACGTAGTTGACCCTGGTTCGTGTCCTGGACCCGGTGGCTTAAAACTCACGCTGGGCGCGTGTGCATGCGTGCCCAAGATCCCGAGAGGAGAATGGAGGAGAAGGGATTGCGGCGTGGCCCTCTCCCCTGGGGGGTGATTTCTCACTTTCTGTCTCTATGTCTCTCTCTGTCTGGCGAGCGCACACGCCCTATAGCGAAAATCTCTCTCTCAAAAAAAGAGAACTATTTCAAACTTAGACTGTATCTAACAAATATATTAATTATGAAACATTATAATACAGACACTTGATCACTAAGCCAATGGAGCTGTCTCTGCTTTTTTCTTTATTTCCCTAATCGTGCTGGCTAGAACTCTCAGTACTATAATACATCGAGCAGGAGTGGTACAAGAACACGTCCTTGCCTTGTGCCCATCAGGAAAGCCTTGTCTTTTACCATTGAGTACGACATTAGCTGAAGGTTTTTTAGATCCTCTTTATTAAGAGGGTACGTTCTCCTCTGTGTGAGTTTCCTAGGGCTGCCACAACAAAGTACCATAAATTGGTGGCTTAAAGCCCAGTTCAGAAGACTAGCATTCTGAAATCAAGGTGTTGGCAGAGTTGGTTCATTCTGAGGGTTCTGAGGGAGTCTCTGTTCCATATTTCTCTCCTCCCTGGTAGTTGCCAAGAAACCTTGGAGTTCTTGGCTTGTATATGCTTCACTCTAATCTTGGTCTCTATCTTCACATGGCATTCTGCCCAGGTCCATGTCCAAATTTCTGTCATCTTACATGGGTATCAGTCGCTGGGTTAGTCACCCTACTGTAGTATGACCTCATTTTTAAGTTGATTACTTCTATATGTGGTCACAGTCATGGGTACTGGGAGTCATTAGGACCTATGTGGGGGGGGGGCGGACATAATTCAACCAGTAACACCCTATTCCAAGTTAGCTGAGAGTTTTTATCATGAATCAGCATTGAATTCCATCAAATGCTTCTTCTGTGTCAGTCAATAGAATTATATAATTTTATTTATTTGGTTGATATGACAGATTACATTAATTTTTGAGGACCAAGCTAGCCTGCACACCTATAATAAAATCCTACTTGGATGTGGTGTATACTTCTTTTTGTACGTTACTCTATTTGGTTTACTAATATATTTGTTGAGAACTTTTGTTTTTCAGTTCATGAGAAATATTGATTTGTAGTTCTCTTATTGTAGTACCGTAATAGTTTAATTATGATATCAAAGTAACACTGGTCTTATAGGATAAATTAAGTGTTTTCTCCTCTTCTGTTTGCTGGAAGATATTATATAAAATTGATGCTCTTTAAATGCTTCATGGAATTAAACCACTTAAACCACTGGACCTGAATGTTTCTTTTCTTGGGAGGTTTAAGGAATTTTTTCGAGACGATCTCATTACGTTGCAGTCTTTCTGCTTCAACCTCCAGAGTAGTTGGGACTGTTGATAGGCACAGGCTACCATGGCTAGGATTCAGGAGTTTTTTAGTTCCAAGTCTTACTTCTTATTTAATAGTTACAAAACTATGTGGATTATCTGTTTCATCGTCTTTGAGTTTTGGTATTAATAGTTCGTCGTCTCTGGTTGGTCCTTCTGAGTTGCCGAATTAATGAGTACAAAGTTGTTTGTATTGTTCCCTCACTTTCCTTTTTTTAAAAAAAGAATTGTTTTATTTAATTTTATTTATTTTCATTTGATCAGAGAGGGTCAGAATGAGAGAGAGAAAGAGAGAGAGAAGAAGAAAGCAAGCCACCAGGTCCAGGACTCAAACTTGGTTGGCTGTGTGGGAGTCCCACGCTCTTAACCACCACGGCACCTGCTGGCCTCACCTCAGTGTCCTTTTAATGGTACAGATTCTGTAATGGCTAATGACTTCTCTATTTCGTTCCTGATAATAGTTATTTGTATTTTCTCTCCTGTTTCATCCATCTTTATAGAGATTTACTAATTTCATTGATTAAAAAAATCAAACCAGAGTTCTGTTTCATTGATTTTTCTTTATTTTTTGGTCATTTTTACCATTTTTATAAGTAAGGGTGTGGTCTTTCTTGGTGTATGTGAATGTTCCATTCATGCTTAAAGAGAGTGGTTATTGTGCTTTCTTCTGGTTTGGGGTAGCATGTTCTGTAAGTGTCAGATCAGTGGTAAATAGTGTTACTCAGGTCTTTGATTTCTTTTCTGATATCTTTGTCTACTTGTATCGATTCCTGAGATGAATGTTTAAGTCTTTCATCATAATTGCATATCTGTTATTCCTTTTAGTTCTTTTAGGTTTTCTTTTAAAAAAAAATACTGTTTTATCTATGAGTGAGAGAGAGAGGCAGAGAGAGCTAGACAATACCCACAACAGTTTCCTGGTGCTGTGATTCCCTTCCCACCACTGCAACCAGCCCTGGATCTTGAGCATGCAGTGCCTGGCATACTCAGGGAGGTCTTCAGACATGAGCCTGAAACCTTCCCACATGGTGCAACTTCACAGAGCATTGCAGTTTACTGGTGCAGTACCACCTAGCCCCAAGTATTTCCAGTTTTTGCCTCATATATTTGTTTGTGGGGCAAATGCAATTCTGTTATTAGTACATAATGAGGCTCTTTAGCCCTGGTAATAGTCTTTGTTGTGAAGTCTATGTTGACTGTTTTTTCTTTTGAGATTTTTTTGCCTTAGGGTGCGTGCACTTGGTGGAGGGTTGGGAAGGTGAGGGGGGTGGGAGTGGAGAGAGACAGAGACAGTGAGAGGGAAAGTGAGAAATCACCCCCGAGGGGGGGGGGCAGATAGCCACACCCCAATCCCTTCTCCTCCATTCTCCTCTTGGGATCTTTGGCATGTACACAGTACACATGCCTGGTGTATGTTTCAAGTCACAAGGTCTGGGACTTGAACACGATTGCCCTGTGTGAGTCCAGAGACATAACCGCCATGCCATCCCCAAATTGACTGATCTTTTTTAAAATTATTTTTATTTGTTGTTGTTGTTATTTATTTTTTAATTTGACCAGAGAGAGTGAGAGAGAAAGTGAGAAAGCAATCCGTCAGGTTCAGGAACTGCAGTCAGCCATGTGTGAGTCCAGTACCTTAACCACCATACCACCTTGTCAGACCCTTGACTTAGATATTAGTAGGACCATTAAAAAAAAAAAACCAGAGGACACATGTGGTGACCAGAGAGCAGCAGAGAGAAGGAGAGGGAGAAAGCACGCCAGTGAGGCATGGTCCTGTCACTGTCCCTTCTCCTCCACTAGTCCATCTTATCAGGGTTTGGGTATACCCACACATGCCAAAGTGTTTTTCAAACCACCAGAATCGGTATTTGAATTGTGGTTGACCATGTGGGATCCAGCTCCCTTAACCACTGTGCCAAGGGGCCAGCCCAATAGAGTCACTTTTGATTAGTGTTGACATGATATGTATTTTTTCCATTCATTTAACTTATGTATATTTTTAGTATACTTATGGTGGGTTTTTTGAGGATAATATTTAGTTCTTTCTTTTTTTTTTTTAAGAGATTTTTGCTATAGGGCACATGTGCTCGCCAGAAAGACAGAGAGAGACAGAAAGCGAGAAATCACCCCCCAGGGGGGATGGCCACGCTGCAATCCCTTCTCCATTCTCCTCTTGGGATCTTGGACATGCATGCACATGTGCCTAGCGTCAGTTTAAGCCAACAGGTCTGGGACTCGAACCACAGTTGACTACATGGGACTCCAGCGACAGCCATTATGCCAACTTCTGGCCCCAGCATTTAGTTCTTAAAATGTCCAATTTGGGGCTGTCTGGTGGCATGGTGGTTAAAAGAGCTGGAACTCACACAGCCAACTGTAAGGTTTGAATCCCAGACCCTGCTGCTTGAAAAACACACTGGATGTGTGTGTATGTGCCCAAAATTGTAGAAGGAGAAATGGAAGAGAAAGG